CAATGGACCTATCAGTTCGACAAATTAAATTTACTTCTGGTGAACAGGGCTTGAACAAAAATATGTAACAAGCTCCACAAAGTTAAAATCGACAATATAAGCCACTATCGAATGGGGTTATCCGTTTCGTACTCTGGCTATTATGACATGACATTATCAATGTCCACAAAAGAAATAGAATTCATGACAATATCTATGAGTACAGTATTGATTCTACGTGTAAGTTATCAGGCTCACTAAAGACTAAATTGAATCAATTAATATTAATATATCTGTTTAATATAATTTTTAGATAATACAAATCAACTCAAAAAAACAAATGAAGTTTTAAAGACAGTAATATGAAGAGGAAACACACATTTCTTTTAATAACCGATAAAGATTTTGCTCAAATAATCCTATACTTTGCACTTGAAAAAAACAAAAGAAGCCGTAAATTTTATAAGGTAATTTTCACTTAATTGCTAGCATTTAAAAGATTTAATAATTGATTTTATTTATTTTTTCTTTTTTAGTATGGTCACTTACATTTCATCGTCGCGAGGCTAGTAATTTTATTATAAATTTGGTCACATACACTTCATCGTCGCGAGGCTAGTAATTTTATTATAAATATGGTCACATACATTTCATCGTCGCGAGGCTAGTAATTTTATTATAAGTGTATACATGTACATTTCTCAAACGCTAGTAATTTTATTATAAGCATGAATCTTTTCTTTTTTTTTCCTATTCAAAAGCTAGTAATTTTATTATAAGCATGGACATGCTCTTTTCCTATCCAAAAGCTAGTGACTTTATTATCACGAAGAAGCTTGTGACTTTTTATCATCGAGAAGAGACCAGTGAGTTTCATGAAAAAGCAGAGAAGAGTTGGGGATTTAATTATTGCAAAGAGGCCGGCGATTTACTTTCAAGATAGAAACCTTTTTGGTAACATTATTAAATTCAAAAGGAAAAGACATTATATACGATACTAATAGAGGCATAGATTTGCCGTGGTGGAAATCAGAGTTCAGCACGTATACAACACATACGGGGTTTTTTTTTTATTTAAAAATATA